AAATGCAGGAATCTGCAGTAAACGAGAGGCAAGAGATGTCAGAGGTTGTGTGGTGCAGAGACCTTAACACCATGTTGCAGGAGGGATATCTTTTGTGGAATCCCAGAATGCATTCCTGGTCCAAATTCCTGAAGATTTTCTATATTCTGCAACATATAGAAAGTACTTTTTCAACATCAAGTCCTAAGTGCTCAGCTTGTTTCATAATTCAGTGAAATGCAGCAACTGTATCCTCATCAGTCACACCACTGCTTTTGAATCTTGGATTCAGTAGGTTTTCAGCACATGTATTGAATGGCAACAAAATTCTTCCTCTTTTTTAATAAAATCTTTCTCTTTACTTTTTGCAGCAGTTGTAAGTGAGATGCACTTAGGTTTTCAAGCCATGTGGTTAGGAATTTCGGACAAAAGTGATTCAGATGTGCGGGATTGCTGAAAAAAATTGGTGTTAAAATGTATAGGAAGTTCTGCAGCTGAACCCAAAACAGGTCTTCATCAAGCACAGCGTCCCTTATATTTCTGGGAATTTTAAGACCCTCAGTTATTACTGTTGCTTGAAGAGCTTCTTTGTTTTTTAGTAAACTTTTAAAGGAGATCCCCACTCCACCCCAAGGTGTTTTACTTCAGAACTTCAGTGTTTCTATTCTGTGCATTTTTTTCATGCTTCTTGAAGACTGCGGTGACAACATGAGTAGCTATTACATATTTGATAACTTCTTTAGTTCTTCTATAACTCCTTCAAAGGGTGTCCAATGTGTTTAGTCCATCAGATGCACAACCTATTGCAGTAATATGTGGATACTTGTCCATTATGATTTCCCATGCAGCTTTCATATTACTTGCATTGTCAGTCAGCAAAGCAAATACTTTACCATTCTCAATTTTCTCTAAAACTGCACATATTTCAGTGCTGATATACTCTGCAGTATTTCTGTTCTCCCCAGTTTCAGTGCTTCTATAAAAGACTGGTTGAGGTGTTATCACAAAGTTGATGATTCCTTCTCCCTGAACATTTGTCTAACCATCTGTAAGTACTGCAAGACATAGTGCTTCACTGATTTTTCCTTGTACTGATTCCATCACACGCTCATATTCTGACTCCAAAAGAGGCTTGCTCAAAGAATGTCTGCTTGGCAAAAGGTATAATGCTCGTAATAATTTGAAAGCTTCCTGCCAATATGCATTTTTGTTATTGACAATGCTGATCCAGAAGCATATATTGCTTTTGCAAGAGCGTGATCAATTTTCTCCTCATTTTTAGGTGTCATTTTATCTATAAATGAAGGTATTGTGTATTTTTGTGAGGCAGTGGTTTGCAACACTTACGTGAAGATGCTGCTGGTGAAGAAACACTTTGTGATGATCCAGAAGCAGCAGAGTATTTCTGGAATTAGAACTCTGGAAGGAAAAGCTACTTGCACTTTCATTCTGGTCCTCATCATTTCATTCTATAATTTTTAATGTCTTTAGGGCACCTCTGACATGCAAGAATGTGTTTGGTCATCCTTGCAGGATTTAGAAAAGAATATTTCTTCTCACAATATTTACAAATTGCAGCTTTGCTCTCAGCAAAAATTGCACTGTGGAAATGTTTCCAAACTCTAGATGTTGGTCTCACCATTTTACTGAGAGGAGGAAAAGAAAAACCAATTTACTGACCAGACTATAGGTAAACATGCTGTGATGGTGGAGAACATTAACAGGAATCATTTAAGGGTTACAAAAGAGGAACTAATTTGTCAGACAGATTCACCCTCTTATCTGTCAGCTAAGGCCTGAGAGGAGAACAGAAACTATCACCTACTATATACCAATAATTACTCAACTGTAGGAGGTCAGAGGTACACAAGCAAACTAAACTGGAGACTTTTTCCCTGCAGTGCCCCTAATGGCACAAATGCATATTTCCCTAATTTGAGAACTGCATTGAGAAGTACAGTGTACATCTTGTAGGACAGACATGTCGAACACAAGGCCCGGGGGCCAGATGCGGCCTGCGACGTGGTTTCATGTGGCCCGTGAAGCCATCCTAGAAACAGTGAGGGAATGGCTTCTGCTGCCTTGGCCCTGGCCCAGGCTGGCCAGGAGCCAATGTACAATTTTGTGGTGGTCATCTATGCTGAAACGCATTCAGCTTTAGCTCCACAAGGCCGTCTGGAAACAGCAAGGAACCAGCCTCTGCCGCAACTGCCCCGCCTCCTGGGTGCATGCTGGGGAGGTGTCACCCTTTGTGAGGAATGAAGAAATGCACCATTGCCTGGAAGTGGCCAGCAAATGGCCCTTGCCTGCTTCACATATCTGGCTTGATGGGCTCCGGGGGAGGGGTTTCAGCAGGCTTTTCCAATGAACCATGCCTTGGCGCTTGCCCTGGTCCCACTCCCTTCTGCCAGAGACCCTCAGATCTGTCCCACTCCTGCCCAGGCCCCCACAGGCACCCTTGGTGCGAACGATGTAGAGCTGGCATTCCCACCCAGTAGGCCGCACCCACTCCAGCCATGCCCACCCAGTAGGCTGCGTCCACCCTGACTACAACTACCCAGCCCCCCGAGGACAACCGCAATGCTGATGCGGCCCTCAATGAAATTGAGTTTGACACCCCTGTTGTAGGAGGAAGATACCATCTATAAAACATCTTATATAAATTTTCTTTATAGGTAATCGCTAACATTAACCTATTCCTGTCCCATAGTAGTTGCCAATTATCTAACTCGATATTGTAGCCAAAGTTTTTGCTCCAAATTAGCATTGTATCTTTTACCTGTTCGTCTAGCATGTCTTGTTCTAGTAGATATTGGTATATCTTTTTTATCGCTTTATCTTCAGTTCCTAGTAGAATTATCTAATTCTGTGTATTCTAATTTTATCCCAGGTTCTTTTTTATCTTTTCTGTATTGTGATTGTATTTGCAAATATGCCCACCATTCCAGATCTATGCCATCTTCTAATAGTTTTCCACTTGTTTTCAATTCTCCGTTCTCATCTAGGATGTCTTTATATGTGATTACCTTTCCCAAGTTTATAAATTTTGGGTGCAGAAATATCTCCAATGTCGAAATCCAATTGGAGATTTTCTTGTAGTTAAATTTTTAAGTTATCATTAAAAATTGAATTAAAACCAGAAACTTTTTTATTAGGGATCACTAAGGATAAATTCAGCAAAGGATCTTTATATTTAGTACTGCACATTCTAACTGCAGCAAGACTAACTTATGCTCAGAAATGGAAAGGAAAAGAAACCCCCTTGGAAGAAGAAGTACTAAACAAAATCCTATCCTGCGCTGAAATGGATAGGTTAACATTAGAGGTAAAAATAAAATTGAATCAGACTATTTTGAAATTTGGAATGAAGTGTATAAATGGTTAGATTTAAAGAGGCACACTGGGATGAATGTTAATGAATGTTGATAGTTTAGAAATTTTATACTAGTACTTTTTATATCAGATAGAATTAAAAGTTATTTATTTATAATGCACATTATTGAAAGAATGCTTACTTTGTTACAATATAATAATATAATGCAAGGCAATATTAACAATATCTTTCAAACCAGGGAAGTTGTATCATGTCCAATGTGTCTTTTTTGTTTTTAACTGTATATTCAATAAAACTTTGTAATTAAAAAAAAGAGAGAAGTACAGTGTACAGTACTTGAATTGTATTCCAGGATTGCTTGTCTTCAGCTGAGAAAGCTTGCAATAATTTAAGACTTTATAAAAAGTCTCAGAAATCTTTCATTAAGGTCTTCATGTTATATAGTTTAAATACCATGCAACAGATATATTATTTATCATTGGAAAAGAACACATTCCACACTCCTTTTTTTTTCTTTCAATTTTTCCAGAAAAAAACTGCTTTGGGGGAAAAAAACGGGGAAAAAAACTGGGTTTTTTAATTCATTTTTTCCGGGTTTTTTTCAGGCCTTCCCATCTCTAGTCAGGGCTCCCCCACCTGTTTTTGTGGCTTTGTATTAGATCAGCAGTTCTCAACGTTTGTGTGACGGCGACCCCCGTCACACAAACGTTATGCGTATGCGCGGCACGGCGTGCATGGGGGCGCCCCCCCCGCGCGCGGCACGCATGCACGGCGGCGCCCCCATGCATGGCGCGCATGCGTGGCGCCCCCTGGAGGCGTGCCGCCGTCCCCATGAGTGGTGCACATGCGCGGTGCTGCCCCCGGAGGTGCACCGCCGCCCCATGCGCGGCGGTGCCCCCGGAGGGGAGAAAATGGCGGATTGCCGCCTTTGGCAACCCCCGAAAAGAGGTCGATCGACCCCAAATGGGGTCGCGACCCATAGGTTGAGAACCGCTGTATTAGATGGTCTAAGGATGGGTGTGTCCATGATGGTTATGGGAGAATGTAAGGTTAAGAGGTTACTGTGGCATATTGTATTGATTGAATCGATAAGTGGCTCAATTAAAGTGCTTGGCAAGCAGCAATCTGCTCTTGGAGAGAGTGAATTAGAGTGGTTGTGTGGATAATTGGTCAAGATGAATTTGATGGCGGTGGTGGAGAAAACACTGAGGGAATGAGGCTGGACGCCATATTCCTTCTAGCTCTCTTCCAAAGAGGAAAGATACTTCTCCAGTTCGTCACAAACTGATGAAAAAGCAAGCAAATTATATTTCCCAGAGTAACGTATACATAGATCCTCATCTGAAAGTAAATGTTGCTTATTGGGTTCTTATGTTATTTTTTCACTTTTAATAAATCTTAGTAATCAACTATCAATTCTATTCCTTCCAAGTAATCATTGCAAGTCCAGTTGGTTGTAAAAGAAACCCAATAGAAAATAATATACTTTAAATGTATTATTTATATCTAACCCTATGATACTATAACTGCCCATTACTATTGCTTTTAATTGTTTTAATGTTGTATGTACCATCTATTTTTGTATGTGATACTACTAACTAGAGGGTATAATTTGAATTCCACTATACTAATGCTACTAATCAGAAGGTAATATTCTAATTCTTCTGAGTATTTGCTGTCTTTTCAGTTTGGTAGGATGGTCCTTCACAGAGTTGTGCAGCAGGGATCTTGCTGAAGTCTTCAAGAACAACCAGAGACTGAAAATATTAGAGTTGTCCCTTGATGACACAGATGACACAGCAGCAGAATTGCTGTGTAAGGGGCTCCAAGATGAAGAGTGTAAAATAGAAACACTAGTGTGAGTGTTTAGTATTTTTTCAGTTAGATATGTGATGCTTTCTCTTGAGTTCTGGAATAGTATCCATGGAAACACAGATACAGTTGTGATGTTTAACCATATTCTTTTCAGTTCCTTCTACAGTACTATGTTTTCTAAGATGCAGTTCTATCCATGATCGTAATCAAAAGTCCAAGAAGACAGTCTGCTGGGACATACGAGATTTTTGTCCCTCCTGTATGCAAACATACTTTCTTAGCTTTTAACTGCTAAGAATTTGGCAGGGACTAATTTAGGGAGGAGGTCAGTTCCTGGAGATGGGCTTAGAAGTTTATAAATGTTCATTAAGCAATTTGCAGATAGGATAGCAATTACACTGATTAAAAAATATCCACAGCTGTACTTTGCAAATTTGTAGATCTATGTTTTGTAATTCTTTGGGAATTATCAAATAATTTAAAATGTTTACATTCTATAACAAATTTTAATCTGAAATCTACAGCAATCTTTTTGTTATTTTGTTATTTCCTGGAATTTCTCTTCAATTGCTTGCTAGCTTCATTTAATACAGTAAAGATCCCTGAAAATTTCTTCTGTTTATTTGGGAATATGAATATTGACTTATAAAGTAATTGCTAATCTACATTAAAAATTGTAATGTCCATTACTTTCAAGAGAGTCTCTCCCCTCCCATCTCTCATTATTAGCATTAAATAATTTGAACATCAAACTTCTAGAAAAGTAATGGCAAAGTTGGAACTTGGAATTCCTCTTTGAACAAAAAGAGGATTCAGGATCTTCCCCAAGCACTCCAAAAAACAGCTTCCCATAAGGAGACTATAAGAGAGGTCTCTGACAAATTTATAATCCTGGATTCTTAGAGTTTGCCATTTTTGTCCAAGTCATGGTAAGCACATTTATGGACAAAGGGTTAACAAACTTTCTTAATCATTTTTAAGAACTTGCTTGTTAAGTGTTTTCTGTATATAGGAGCTTTTAGAACAGCAAGCGTCATTACACTGGGTGATTCTTTTAATCCTAACCAAAATATATGTAGATTTTGTCAGGTGCAAAAAACAGGAGTCAGGATAGAGTTCAAAACACTGCAGTTTTTTTATTCCATGCTACCTATACTCAAGAATCCGATTTACTAATGGTCAATGCAAATTGGCATTAGATAAGATTCAATGGACTTCAAAAGGACTGGATTTGGGGGCACAGAGACTCCAAACTGATGATGCCTTTGATGCCCTGGAGCTCAGCCCAACCATCTCCTACATCACCCTCCCCTCCTTCTCTATGGGTTCCTCCTCCTACATTATTTCTTCAAAATCTTAAGTTCTCATGGGAATTGAACTTGGCAAGGGCAGAAGAAAAGCAATCTGGTGCATATTAGCTGGTAGATTCCATATTTCAATTTCCAAATGTTCTTGGCATCTGCAGGTGCTGTCTGTTTCTGAAGCATCAGCTGTAGCTCCAGTTTGCAGATCTGATGCCATGCTGTGGTTTCATATAGTCGGTGAACATTTTTGAGATAGATCAGATTAATGTCAGGTGCAAGAAGACAGGAGCCAGGATGGAGTTCAAAAACTCTTCAATTTTATTCCATGCCACTTATACACACGAAATTGGTCTACTTATGGTAAATGCAAATTTTACTCCAGACAGATGGTGTGTTTAACCCCACCCTCAGGCTTAATCTGGACATCTTCTACAGATTTTGAAATTAAATATGAGAAATCTTCTCAAGGAAAAATGCTGTTTATTGGGGGGGAAACATGATTAAATGGGAGTATGAAGGTTGGATACTAGAGGGAACCAAAAAAACCTAAAAATCATAATTAAATGAGAAGAGATCCATTAATAGAGAATGGAGGAAAATAGCCAAGCTTTGGAAAAAATCAAGGATATTTGGGAACAATGTATTCAGAAATTGCTATTAAGATTGTTTGCTATCATAAATCTGGATTTAAAAGAGGTTATATAAAAGGAAGTAACTATATTGGGTGAGACTGTGGCTGATTCAAATGTGATTCTGAAAACAAGAGGAATGACGTGGAAAATGATGTTACACTGGCTATGTAAATGAAACCAGCTGATGCTTTATTAATTAATACACAATAAAACAGAAGATTAATTTGAATGCTTTTTATTTTGGATTTACAGAAGAGTCTTGAAGGGGAGAGGCAAAAAGCAAATAAAACAAGTTGTGGGAGACTATTTAAAAGGATTAAAGATCAAGATTGTTAAAAGCAAAGGGAAGGAGTATAAATTTGTCTTATCTGATGAAGTTTAAAATATTTATGTTGTCATTTCTGGTAACTCTTAATGAATTTTTGCTAATCAAAAAATGTGATTATAGATAAGAGGAATAGGATTATTCTTTATTGGCCAAGTGTGATTAGACATATAAGGAATTTGTCTCATTCAGCTCCTTTTTGGAGGGTTTCTTGGGCATCAAGGTGATAGTAGAGCATTTGGAGCAAGAAAGGACATAACACATCTCCAGTGATTTATTAAAGGTGCGAGTGAAGATAGGGGCTAGTTGATCATCACAGACTTTCAAGCGAGAGGGAATTACCCTATTTGTGCCTGGTGATTTTCCAGTCTTTTGTCTGTTTAACAGAAATCACAACTCTTTTTCTAGGATGACCAGAGGTGGCGGGCCCAGAGGGATGGAGTCAGGTGTAGGAGACTTGGCTGTTATTGGTATATCAGAGATGGAGAGAGTAGAGATAGTTGACAGTGATCTCCTCTCAAACTTATAGTAGAATACATTCAGTTCATCTGTCAGTTCCCAATTCCCTTCAGCAGGGAGGGAGGTTTGCTGTAGCCAGTGATGTATATATGAATGTATGTATGTATGTAAATCATTCATTCAATGTAGGGGAACTAGATTTATGATATCATGTTAAGAAATAAGTAAATGATTAATCAGTAAATTCTCTAAAACTCCAAAAATTGATACTAATATTGATATTGCCATTGTGTGTCCTTGTTCCAGAAAAAAACACAAAACATGCTTATCTTCTGGAAATGTATCCTCAGAGAAAGAATTCCAACATCAGCAATAATCATATTCTCTTCAGTTCCTTGTAGACTAGTATATGCTTGTTTTCCAAAAATAATTGTAATGTTTTGGACCCATAACTGCAGGTTTAATGGAGAAAACATGACGGAATTCTGCAGCAGGAAGATTGCAGAAGTATTCAGTAAAAACAAGAGTTTGAGAGAGTTAAATTTCCAGCTCTTCTATCCAGATGACAAAGTAGTGAAAATATTGTGTGAGGGGCTCCAAGATAAAGATTGTAAAGTAGAAAAACTAGGGTGAGTGTTCAGCATTTCTTTTTCAGTTTGCTATGTGTTAATGTTCTCTTGATTGTTTGTTTTCTGGAAATACATCCAAGAATAGCAGTTCATCTGCCATATATAAATACATTGTCTACAATTCCTACAATAGTACACTCCATGCTTGCTTTTCAAGATATAATTGTTTTTCTTTTACTTTTTTACAGGCTTGCTGGAGATTTTCTGACCAAATTCAGCAGCAGCCATCTTGCAGAAGTACTAAGGAAAAATATGAGATTGAGAGAGATAGAGTTTTCTCTCAGAGAAATAGATGACAAAGTAGCAGAAGTGGTGTATGATTTGCTCAAACATTCAAAATGTGGACTTGAGATACTACAGTAAGTGATTGCTTTTTCTTTTCAGTTTAAAGTGCACAACCTTCTCTTAACAGTTAATATTCTAGAAATATATCCAGGGAGTGGTTTAGTTGTCATGCACAATCATATTCCCTTCAGTTCCTACAAGAATACAGTCCATATGTCTTCTAATGGAAAATAGCAACTTGATGATATCTCTCCATTTTTGGATTGACAATGATTCTCCACAGTTTTATATTTAGAGCTGATTTCTAAGTTTGAAGAAACTTAGAAGGGAAGTTTTGGAAATCAATCCTCTTGTTCCTCCGGATGACTCAATGATCTTGGAGAACTTTTTGAAGGAGTGATCAAGTGAGTCTATAGCTGGGAGTGAGACTAACCAGGAAGCAAGTTCACCATGGAAGAATAAGCCATTTACATAAAATGGACAATAAAGTTTGTCTCCTCTCCTTAGAATATGAATATTGTACATTTACCTTCTGCAAGCTACAGCTTGCTTTCCCCTTTTTGTTGAAACATCATTTCTGAAGCTCCATGACTTTAAGATGGCAAGAAGCGGAGAAGTTGCTGTAACCGAGTCAGAGTAAACAAGCCGGAATCTACTTGTCAAGCCCCAACATACACGGGGGGAGGGGGGAGGGAGAAGGTACCAGAAGACCGCCTCGCAGCCCAAAGCCAGTGGCCCAAAGCCGGCAACATCATCTGCCAGAGAGGCCGTGAGGCTCAGTTCCAGCATCGCCAGCGAGGAGACCCACCGACCGGCTTACCGACCCTGCAGCTCACTTCCAGTGATGCCAACGGTGAGCAGGGGGGACGGGCAATGCTGCCATGGGGCAGGGAAGCCCCGTGGCTCAGTACCAGTGTGGATTGATTCTGATGACGCCGATGACGTGCAGGGGGGACTGGCGATGTCGCCATAGGGCAGGGAAGCCCTGCGGCTCAGTTCCAGCATGGCTTGCTTCCAGCAATGCAGGCAATGAGTGCCTAGCAACGCCGACGCAGGGCAGGAACGGCCCTGTGGCCCAAAACTGGTGCCGCTGACGAGCGGAGCAACCTCAGCACCGGCAAGGCTGCCAACCACCCGTGGACCGTGGGATGGCACCAGGCCAATGGGACTTGTTGCGAGGTCGAGAGGAGGATGAGGTTCCTACCTGGATTCTGCCGCTCCGCTGCACGACACGCTGCACACCAACCGGCAGGGACTGGATGGCGGGCCAGGAGAGAGGCAGGGCCCTGGGTTGCTGGTTTTCAGGACAGGCATCGGATGCTGGTTTGCTGAATGGGGAGTGGAGCTGCGGGGCCGGGAAGCTATGTAAAGCACTGGAAGCAGATCACTCCCAGCGCTGACTTTGTTTGTTCGGATTAAACCGCCTGTCAACACATTCCTGTTTACTAGTCATCCTCCTTGTGCTTCAGTGGGAACCAGGGACTGGTAAGGATAGTGACACTACTTTAGAAACTACTTCAGAAATGTCAGAACGTAAATCTCCTACCTAGAGGATTTTACTTCTTTTAAGCTGACCGCTGAACTTCTTCAGTTTTAGAATAAAGGCTGTTTAAATGGTTCTTTTAGTCTGTTGTGAAGAAGGAAAACAATTCTAATTTTACTTCTGATTGAGAAGAATTCAACACAGGTTTAAAGGTGTCTGAGTGTAATGAGATGTTTGACCACAAAGGGAGAATAGAATCTGAACTTTACCTGCAAATTATATAGTTTTGCTGTAGTGGTGCTGTCAGAATCCAATTATATTTCATCTTTAATTATCAAACATAGAAACTCCCAATTCTGCCTTCTCTGGATTCTGCCATAAGAGGGAGAAAAGGGGGAGAGCAAAGGGGCTTTATGGCCCTCACTTCCTTCAGCACACTTCAAAGGACTGAATGTGTGTTTATTGTGGCCTCTAAGCTTTAACATATCAAAGAAGAGTAATTGCCTTTCATGTAGTTATCTGAAGTCTCCATCCAGACGGAAGAAGAAAGGGGATGGAATTGTGATACTTGAAACTATCACTGGAAGGGGGGTTGATTGGGTGGGACTACTGGGGAACCCCTTAAAACCTTGAATGGGAGAGCTTGAACCCCAAGTCCTGTCTAGCATGCCTGCAACCATTTTCTCTTAATAAAGGATTCCTGTTGGAAGAGCTATTCCAAGAGTTCTGTCTTCTTAAGATGCAAAGTGGGGTGGGTCCTTACATTAGACAGGACTTGCAAAATTAATCCACCTGGAAGGTAGACCCTTGCCGGGGGATTTTGCAAAAAATTACCATGTCAGACAACGAAGCAAGAGAGGGAGAAAACTCCCTGGAAAGAGAGCCGCTGACCCAGTTGGAACCTTGCCAGATGTTGGGATCCGAGAGGCCAGATTTCTCAGAAGAAGAAGTGGTGGAGACACAGGACCACAAGCCTCACTGGTCGATGGGCGTTGGAAAGAAAAGCGAGTGGGGAAAGGAATCAAGAAAAGTGACCCTGAGACGGGGGACCAAGCAACCAGAATGGAAGCAGGAGATGGAGAAATCCCTGCACGCAAGTGAAGAGGGAGGAAGCTGTATGCCGTACTCAGACTGGATCCTAGAGAGAGCTATTGACCTGATGAAGAGAACTCTCAGCTCCCTAGGAGAGGAGATTCCTGAGCCCTACGCCCGCCCCAGTTCCTGGAGCCACAAAGGGAGAGACACCGAGGGGGACGTGGAACCTGCAACCCCAGGGACATTTACTGATCCAGGAGCTCCCACCCCCTACCGGACCACAGATGGAAATCTGGACGGAAGACACTACCACCCACAATGGAGGCACCGATCCATTCCAAGACGTCCACCGTTGGAGGTGAAATTCAAAGGGGAGCCAACACGCTTGGGGTTTTTCCTAACCCAAGTCCTCAGCTACATGGAGGAATATGGGCAGGACATCCCCAGCGACAAAGCCCGCATCCGGATCGTGCAATCTGCCCTGGATGGACCAGCTGCAGATTGGGTGGTGAACCTGCATGACTCCAATGCCCCAGAACTCAGTAACTTCAACCGTTTCATGTCCTCTTTGAGAAGACGATTTGAAGACCCCCTGGCTGATCGCAAAGCCCGTGAAAGAATAACAACGATGAGGCAGGGCAAACGCCCAGTGGCTGAGTATACACAAGAATTCCGAGCCATTGCCAGCAAACTGAATTGGCCAGAAGACATCCTCCTTGGCCGTTTCAAAGACGGACTAAACTATGATCTATATGATGCTTGCCTGCCCCGAGGAGACCCACATCGACTTGAGGAATGGTACGTCTTGGCAGAGGAAGCAGAGATCGACATATTGAAGAGGCATCGCCGAGGAAAACAATGGAGCCGCCCCCCGCCTGAGCTGACACACCAACCGGTGAAATCATCGGATACAGCCAAGAAGCAGATGGGGTGTTTCAAGTGCGGAAGAGAAGGGCATCGAGCTGTAGAATGCCGCTCAAAGGCCCCCCAGCACAACCCAGACAGATCCCCAATCAACAAACCCAGAGGGTATTCAGCTAAGCCAAAAGAAACAGCCATGAAAATGATGGAAATTGCAGAAAACCCCACCTCTGCTCACCAAGGGGAAAGAACTCCAGCCTACACCACAGGGACGGTGGATGCCTCAGATGACAGCTCGGAAGGCGAACCCCTGGTAAGTGGACGCATCACACCCATCTTCAAAACAGTGACTATATTAATCCCCCCCATGCCCGAAGCTGTGAAGGTGAAAGCCTTAATAGACTCTGGCTGCACCCGCTGCCTCATTAGCCCAACACTAGTGGGGAATCTGGGCATCCCATCCAGGAGACTGGAACAACCAATCTCATTTGGCCAGCTAGATGGATCCATAGCAGGGGGGGTGCCAGCTACCCTAGCCACTCTGCCAATACACCTCTCCCTGGGCAACCATGAAGAGGACTTAACGTTTGTGGTGACCCCAGGTATGGAATGCCCAATGATTCTAGGGATGGAATGGTTGAAAAAATGGAACCCCTGGGTAAATTGGAGGACGACAGAAATCAAATTCCCGAAGGGGGACCCTATGGACTTAAAACCCCAAGAGAGGCTACCAGAATCAAGAATAGAAAAAGCATCCATAGGAGAGGAAAAAAGATTAACAGAAATACCAGAGGAATATAGGGACCTTGCTGAAGTCTTCAGTGAGGAGAGGGCGAATGAGCTTCCCCCCCACCGACCCACAGACTGTACCATTGAATTCAAGCCTGGGGCAAAACTCCCGAAACCCAGATTATACTCCATGAGCCCAAAGGAGAAGGAGGAAATGGAAAGATTTATAAAAAAAAACCTGGAGAGAGGTTTCATTGAACCAGCTAAGCCTAAAGTGGCTGCCCCGGTCCTTTTTAGAGAGAAGAAGGATGGCTCTTTACGTTTATGCGTGGATTATAGGGCCCTGAACACAATCAGTGAAAGCAACCTATACCCGCTGCCCCTCATGAAAGACATGCTGTCACACCTATCGAAAGGGAAAATTTTTTCTAAACTAGACTTAAGGGAAGCTTACTATCGCGTGAGAATCAAGGAAGGGGACGAATGGAAGACTGCATTTAACTGCCCCATGGGGTGCTATCAATTCAAAGTCTTGCCATTTGGATTACAAGGGGGCCCTGCAGTCTTTATGCAATTAATCAATGACGTTCTAAGGGAGCACCTGTTTAAGGGGGTCCTTGTTTACTTGGACGACATTCTTATCTTTACCGAAACAAAAGAAGAACACGTCAAACTTGTCAGAGCGGTTTTAAAGAAGCTGCGAGCCGCTCACCTATATGCCAAACTCTCAAAATGCGAATTCCACCAGGAAAGGATAGATTACCTAGGCTATCGCATATCCCCACAGGGCATTGAAATGGACCCAGAGAAGGTCAGAGCAGTATTAGAATGGGCACCACCCCGCACAAGAAAGCAACTACAAAGTTTCCTGGGCTTTGCAAATTTTTACCGCCAATTCATCCCCTCATTGCAGATAGCCTTGCCCCTCACTAACTTACTAAAAACGAAGGGAGCATCCTCAGTAAA